CCCACTAGCACATCACACAAGCGATAAACACCCGATGACACAAAGTGCCACCATGCGGATGAGAATCACCCGTGGAGAGGTCCCAGAAACCGCGTTCTGTCATTAGACCATATTTATGGTCGGGCTATATTGCGGTCCCTGGCAAGAGCCAGGGTGGGGCTTCAACATAACGAAAAATTGCATCTCACAAGGAGATGACTAGGTCACATGACATAACCCGGAGATTTCGAATGGAATTCCCGGAAAAATTTAATATTATTGGGGCAATAAGGTGTGAAATAAACACCGACTAACACTAACTAACCCCCATATAATATTGGCTTTCCGGGTAATTCCTTAAGAATTCTCGGAGTCGCTGAGATAAGGTGAAATATAATAAAACGACCCGGAGGGGAGCAACGGAGCATAAGCTCCCAGGTTCATGCGCCTATGTTGAGAGTTCCTTGTTGACTAAAGGGAAGGAAATGTACATGTGTAGTTTCAGTCACTGAAGTCGAGTCAATTGCAGCTGAATGATCTCCCCTCTATACGGTTGACCAGATCGGAGATAACCATGTAAATGCTCTTTTGTTGCAGATCAAGTCCCTAGGTTATGGAATTATATGACGGAAATCATTCACACACAATCAAAACAGTCACAGGTTTACTGCAGACGTGATTGTTTCTTCCCCCCTCTAGTTATTTACAGCAGGGTAGTAATGATTTCAATCAAACAGGCTTCAGGAAATATTTTTTTTTTTACATCAGAAACGACTAAGTGGAGTGACACTGACTAACCTTGTGCAGACTGATTTTACTACAGCAAAGATTACATTTGCGAGAACTAATTGACACCTCTCAGGAAGTTATATTGTATTGCAACAATGAATATTATGTTCAGTCGGGAGCACTAACACTTAGGGGCTAATGCCCATTGATGCTCCCATAGCTTGTGGAGTGGTGGCAGTCAGGATCCACCCCCCTGAATTTTAAAGAATACTAAACTGTCCCCTATACTCAAACCCAGCCATGTTTAGAAATTCTCTTTTCAAGTATGTGTTTGTAATACGACGTTTTTAAAATGTTTTATTATGTCTTTCGTAATTTCCTAGCACCCAGATGACGTCACAGGACAGTCCAATATTTTAGAGGGTGGTAAGACTGGGTTTTCCGACTTTCTGATGCTTTTATCGACCCCAAAACATCTAGAACTGGCCCTAACCCCGACCCACCTACGTCCCGAGAGAAAGTGCAGCCTAGGTCACATGACTGCTTGCAGCTTATCTATCACCCCCTAAAATACTAGACTGTCCCGTGACCTGGGGATTTCCCCTGTTTGGGGAAAGGATATTAAGAAAGCACCTATTATTATATTTTTCTCTATTCAGTGCATTATTATTGTTATTATTATTATTATTATATGACAAATTTTTTTTTTTTTTAATTTTGTATTCACCGCAAGCACAGGAAATCCCGGAGTTCCCCGGGAAGTCCAGTATTAGGGGTGTTATGGGTAGGGTTAGAAGGTGTTCCTTTCAAACTGTAACACTCCTATAATAATTGTACTGAACTGTTGTAAAGCTATAGTGAGCTTTGATCAGTTGCAGTGAGCTTTAGTTAGTTGCAGTGAGCGTCTGCAGTAGCGTTGTAAATTGCACTGAATTGTTGTTGTTATATTGTAGTGAGCAGCTGGTCATTTGCAGTGAACTTTCAGTCAGTATTGTGTAACTGTTTGTCAGTAGCAGTGAGCGTTTGGTAAATTCCACTGAACTGTTGTCCAGCTGCAGTGAGCGTTCGGTCAACTGCACTGAACTGTTGTTTAGTTGCAGAGGGCTTTTCTTTAGTTGTAGTGAGCTGGTTTTCAATTGCTGTTGGCTGTTGGTCAGTTGTAGCGAACTGTTCCTCAGTCACACTGAACTTTAGCTCAGTCACAATGAACTGTCATTTGCACTGAACTTTTGCTTATTTACAGAGAACTGTTACTTGAGTTGTAGAGTGCTGTCAATTACAGTGAAGTTTTTGTTAGTGCACTGAATTGTTGCTCAGATGCACTGAACTGTTGGTCAGGTATCTGAGTTTGTATATCCAGTTTAGACAGGAACTTTTCTGGTTTGACCTTTCTTAGCCTTTAATTGCCTCTCGTCTCACTACAATGCAGCAGGATATTACAAAGCACGAGCCTCGAAGCTTCATAAATCCCAAAAAGAATTGTACTAGTGAACCAAACGAGGCAGTTCATTAACGTCTATCAATATTTATGTCCGGCGGTCTCATTATTTCATTTTCTTTCTATTACCTTCTACCTCCCTCATGATTGTTGGATAACAATTGGTCAGTCCCACCCCCCCCCCCCCCACCCCACCCTAACCTATCTTTTCCGGACCTCCAAAATTGGCGCTGCGAAACTCACACGGAATATTAGTCTACAAGTTAGCTCTTCACAAGCCGCTATCCTCTCCGTGTTGGTATTGTGCGGTAACA